TCTCCGTCAGAATGCCATTCGCCACTGTCGCCGCCGCTCGCCTCTCCTTCCAGATCTCGCTCTTGCTCTCCGTTGGGCACTGAGTACATTTCGATAAGGGCCTGAAAGAAAGCAGGAAGAATAAAGTCAGTCGACGCAGTATAGACAGTTGCATGAGTGAATTCAGATTATCATCAAAAGCTCAGAATCGGACCTTTTCTGGTTCATGGGACTGGTCGAATGGAGGAACTCTCCTGGCTCCCCTGGGGTTGTCCTTGTTTCCGGTGATGCCCGACAGCCACCCCTCCAGTGTGTCGTCGTCGACCTCCTCTGGGTGAATCCGAGTGGTGTCATCAAGACCCGAATACATCCACATTGGATGGTCTCAAGCTTGAAGAGGCTGGATGCGCCACCGAAGGAAAACCTCCAAGAGATCCATACCAGTGACCCCGTCACGGATAAGCTGGACCACTCGTTCGACCAGCACCCTAACTTGCGCCTTCTCCTCCGAGAGCACCTTCAAAGAGGAGGGTTTCCTCACTCGGTCCATGGTAAAAGGAGGGAGGCCAGTCGACTGCCCTGGCGTCGGCTGGTCTTTGCAGTAAAACCAGGTCGACTGCCATCCACGGACCGAGTCGGGAAGAATCATGGCCGGAAAGGAACTTTTCCCTCTCATCTGGACACCAAGACCCCCACACATCTTAATCACTTGTGTTCTCTCGTCACTCGGGTTGGCCTTTTTCACCGTTTGAGAACGACAGGTGAAAATGTGCTTGAAAAGACCCCAGTGAGGCCGACAACCCAAGAAATTCTCGCACAAAGACACGAAAGCAACGAGATACACGATTGTGTTGGGAGTGAAGTGGTGGAGTTGTGCCCCAAAGAAATTCAGAAATCCCCGAAAGAAAGGGTGAGGAGGCAAGGAAAATTCACGGTCGACGTGGGTGGCAAGGAGGACGCGCTCACCTTCCCGAGGTTGCGGCTCGGATTCCTCCCCCGGAAGCCGCGCCGATCCATGGGGGATCAGTCCTCCGTCGGCTAGGTTGTCGAGGTATTCTTGGCGGATCGCCGAGCGGATCCAGTCGCCCTGGATCCAGCCCTTCGGCAGGCCGGCTCGTGAGGAAGATCCACCCCGACTGGTCGCCTTCCCCTTCGCCTTTGCCGTCGCCTTCTTCGCCCGCTCCAGAGCCGCCATCTTCTCCTTCCCCATCATCGTCGGCGAGACGCGTATGGAGCAGCGGCGCTGGGGTGAGAGCGAGCGCGACGAAGAAGCCTGAAGAGGAGAAAAGGAAATGAGAACACAGTGTTCAAGAAACCCCGGTCCGACGCCTTATATGAGGTCACTTCCGAGTGGCTGACTGGTAGGCCCGGACGATCCTGTCAAATCCCGTAACAATCGCGCGCGCAATACGTGGCGAAAAAGGTGGCGCGGAGATCGAGGCGGCTCCGCCCTATCCCATCCGATTACTGCGGCCTCCCCCGTCCCGCGCGCTTCCCAAAATTCGAATCCCGCGAAATCTGCGGGCAGCAAAACAACTTGTCAGACGGAAGATCTCCTCCACACCGTCACTCGGAGCTTTTCAAGTAAAGAAACTCACTCGACAAAAAACTAAGAATGGATCAAGGCGACTGAAAAGGAAGTTGCTGTCATCACTCAGGTTCATTGATCCGAAACAAGATATGCTCATGGCATGAAAAATGAGTCGGAGAAGTTCTGAACTCCTTCCCCACTCAAACCTCGATCCATTCGGGGGCTAATGATGAAGCTATGTACCTAGGGTACGGTCATGGACCTGTCCTAACTGCCCTACCCAAGGACATCTCTAGAAGAAATCACCTTTCAATCGACTTGGAGGTGTTCCACTAGACAGACTCGAAGATACTCGACCAAGAAGCAATCACTCGACCAAGATCCAACCAATCGACAGCCAGGAGACCTAAAGTCACTCCGCACGCTAACGGTCGATCATTATGTAGCTTTTATGGTCATCATAGCACTTTATTAGGGGCGTTACCAGTAACGCCCGACCTTAATGTATTTGAAACTCTGCATAACTGAGGGCCGGAGGGGTCTGGCGAACTCTATATAAGCCACCCCCCTCCTCAGTGTAAAGGGTTCGCACCCCTGTAATTCATACACACATAATCTAGTCGACCGCCTCTGGGCTCTGAGACGTAGGGCTATTACTTCCTCCGAGAAGGGCCTGAACTCGTAAACCTCGTGTGCTTACAACTACTCCATAGCTAAGATCTTGCCTCTCCATACCTACCCCCTACATTACTGTCAGACTTAGAACCATGACACTTGGCGCATCGGTCTCGGGGCGTCACACTACCGCAGGAAAGGAGATCCTGCTCAAGGCTATAATCCAAGCCATACCTACCTATGCAATGTCGGTCTTTAAAATTCCTAAAAAAATGTAAAGGAATCATCGACGTGATAGCGCATTTCTGGTGGGGAGACGAGGAGAATCATAAGAGGATGCATTGGATGTCCTGGTGGAAATTGTGTTCCTAAAAATCAAGGAGGGATGGGATTTCGTTATATCAAATGTTTTAATTTGGCGTTACTCGCCAAACAGGCATGGCGTCTGTTGGATAATCCTGATTCCTTGTGTGCTTCTATCCTACGAGCAAATTATTACCCCGATGGTGATCTGTTAAATGCGAAGGTAAAGAAAGGCTCTTCCTTTACATGGCAAAGTATCATGGCAAGCACAAACACACTGAAACGTAGCTATATTTGGCGAGTGGGGAATGGACACAACATCAATATTTAGGAAGATGCCTGGATCCCAAACTATGCAACTAGGAAAATTGTAACGCCTAAGGGAGGTAATATGTTAATTAAGGTAGGTGATCTCATTGATCCTGCTTCTAATACTTGGGACGAAGACCTGATTGAACAAACTATGTGGCCAATCGATGTACAAAGGATTCTTTCAGTTCCCCTACCGCAACATGATATGCAAGATTTCATTGCCTGGAATTATACAAAAAGGGGTATTTTATTGGTTCGATCAGCCTATTTTATGGAGTGGAATCACCAGTATGGAAGCAAATTGAAACACTCTAATGGGATGGGGCGAACCAAGTTAACCCTACTTGGAGTAAGATATGAAAGTTAGCCTGTTCGGCAAAAGTTAAAATTTTCTTATGGCGTATGCTACATGGTACGATCAAATGCTGGGCTACGCTAGCAAACAGACATATGAAGGTTTCACCCATCTGCCCTACTTGCTTAGAGGGTTTAGAAGATACAAAACTTATGCTCTTCTGCTGTAGTAAAGCAAAGAAGGTTTGGAAAAGGCTAGGGATGGATGATATTATTGATAAAGCTTGTGAAGTTGACCGTGCGGGAGAGACGGTGTTGGGAGTATCTACTACTCCTACCAGATCAAGATTTGTGGATATTGGGTTACCACAATGTACGTGAGATGATTGTTATTTCAGCGTGGTATTTATGATGGGAAAGACAGAAGCTGGTACACAATGAAAAAACTCAAAATGTAACTCACATCTCAATGGGGATTCTTGCTCTAACAAAAAAAATTGTTAATGCATTATCCCCAAGGCATCGATGAAAATGGAGAGTTGGTCTTGTCCTCCAAGAGGTTTCGTTAAACTTAATGTTGATGCTTCTTTTGATGACGATCTTCTTAGGGGTTCTATGGGAGCGGTCCTTCGAGACGGCAAAGGAAGGTTCATAGCTGGAGGGAATGAGAAAATAGATGTTTGCGTGGATGTGTTGATGGCAAAAGTTTTAGCTCTAAAATTCGATCTAACATTGGCACAACGGGCGGGATGCAATCGCCTTACTATAAATTCAAATAATACGGAGGGGATTGATACTATGAATGATGGAGGACAATCAGCGGGTGCGGCGGCAACAATCTTTGATGATTGTTTCCATTATGCTTGTGGTTTCGTTACTGGTAGATTTGAGCATTGTAATAGGGAAGCAAATAAAGTAGCTCATGAGCTGGCTAGATTAGCAAGATCTTCTTTGACTTCTGATTGGTTTGAGCAGCCTTTAAATGAAATTGTAATGATCATCAGAAACGATCTACTACTTGTTACAAATGAATAAAGTCTGAGCTTTTTCAAAAACAAAAAATCAGGACCCTAGACCTAGGCTAACTTGGATGGCAGCATAATCACCAAACTGGTCCATCACCTCCTTCTCTCTACATAGGCCTAGTGTCAGTTTTATATGACTTTACTGCTGCCGATATGTCTGTTTCTATCTTCTTTTTTTTGCTAGAATATTGGTGGTTGGTTGTGTGCATTTTAGGTCTGCAGTGGTCAGATGTTGCTCATCATGCCTTCTATATGCTCGATACTAAATTTTAAGTTAATAAAAGCAGCATTTATGATAGAAAAAAAATCCCCTCTTTACATTTTCATTTTGAGCGGATATATATTCTCTATTACCGGGTTAGCCACGTGGAAAATGGAAAATGCCTATCCATCAGGCTGTTGTACCGGCACCACCTAACGTCGGTAGAGTAGAGCAAGGCAGCAACCCAGGAACCTGGACAAGGACACACACAGGATCACCTGATCCGTCCGAGCCATCACCGCACCGCACGGGACACGGCATAATACCATGCATCAGCTCACGCCAGCTGCACTCCAAAGAGAAAAACCACGTCTCCCAGAAAAAACAAATGGCAAGTTGACAACGACAAGACAAGGGGCCGTGGCTTTCTCCGCCCTCCGTTTCGGCCGAAACCCAGCGGCCGTCAGCTCGCTCGCTCGCTTCCTACCAAACAAGGCGGCGGCCATTCATGGCGTGCGCGCGGAGCCGTAGACGTCCAAAACCACAGCGGACACGGCCCACCGTTACCTGCCCGCGCGCATATAAAGACCACACCCTTCCTTCATCCGCAGCGCCATAATTTCCGAGCTGCTAGCGCTACAGTCCCCATCAACAGTTCAGGCTTACAGCTAGTTGCAGTACTACACGAGTACACCACCAAGCCAACGCCCAACAGAGAGGTAGTGGTGCCATTGGGAGGATGGCTTCGATCGTGCTGCTGCTGTCGGAGCTGCTCGGCGGCGCGGGGAGCACCAGCATGCTGGAGGCCAACTGCTACATGGGCGGCCACAGCCTGCGGGAATTCCGGCCCGCGGCGGCCACGGGCGAGCGGGCGCCCACGGAGCCGAAGCTGCGGGGAACAACCTCAACGGCGGCGAAGGATGAGGAGCCGTCGTCGTTGGACCTGGAGGATCTCTCCGCCGTGTCCAGGATATCGGTGGACGTGATGTGGCCCTGAGCCTTCCGCTGACTCAGGAGGTCGATTCGCCTCGAGGTTGTTCTGTGTTTTGCTGCCGAGGACGAAGAAGATGTGTCATGTGATTCCTCGTTGCCTCGAGTTCTATGAAATGAACATGTAAATATACAAAGCCAGCGCTGAATGTTCTCCCTGTGTTCCTTTTTGTCTCGTGACTTTTTCTTCGGGGATTCAACCTTCTGATCAGATCATAATCGACCGAACTCGTTTGCAACATTTTTTCCTCGTAGCAATCGACCGGGTACTGACAATAATCCCATGCTAATTGCAGAATTAAATGGTTCTCGTAATCGGGTGGATAATGACAGTCCATCGAGCGGGTATACCCACACCGACCTTCTCAACCTGGACTACAGAAAACAACGCATTTTCCCTATACAAACTTGCAATCCATTCTGTAACTGAACTTTTTGTACTTTTAACAGTGCATTTTTTGTTGTCTTGGCCTTGCAAGGCATTGTTCAGGTAAACCACAAGAGCTCTGGAGTTTTTAAGTCCCATATTGCAAATAACATCAAACACAATTGGAAATAGTATCAAAGATCATACTATTCCATGGATGGTGGACTGTCATCGATAGTTCGATTCCCAGCACAGGAAATTGCTAGATGGATGGCAATGGCCTGCTAGCTAAGCTAGTAGCGTGCCCATCCATTAAAGTAACAGTTTCTCCCTGAATTTGCACTTTCAGTAATAAGTCCTACTAGCAAAAAAACCCGTGTGTTACAACGAGAGAAAAAAAAACATTATCTCACGTCTCTAGCTGGGTCAGTTGGATAAATTATGTGTGACCGGTTGGCAGGTTATGAGATCGAAACCTCCCATCGGCAATTTTATTTTTTGCCAGTTCTGCGGACCTGGGCCACAATGTGCCGTCGGGTGAGCTTCCTCAATTGGGCCAAAACGGATGGTTACCAAATAGCGTATGTGAAATTAATTGAAGCGGGACAAAACAAAGCGGGACGAAAATAAGAATATCACCTCCCTTTAATAGTAGTTATATATATATATATATATAGATATAGATGTAGCACGACAGAGTCGATTTCCACATAATATCTATCTGCCATAACTGCAATTATGTCAATGTATATTTTAAGCATCCATTGTTTTAGGTTCAGATCATACACGGCCGGCGTAGTGACCCTCAAAAAACCACTGAGGCCTTTTTTGGTTCATAGGATAGGATTATTATAGGAATAGGAATCTTGTAGGAAATGAGATGACATGTATCTCAAATCCTATGAGTAGGAATAAGAAACAAGATGTCATTTGGTTGACACCAAAGGAATTTTTCCACTGAGTCTAGGCTCTTTTTTATTTTCCTATGAAATGTGGAGGATAGGAACCAATCCTATATAGGAATAGGAATCCATTCCTATGAACCAAAGGGCTCTAAAGAAAAAAATCCTATAAGAATCCTATCCTCTAGAATTCCTATGAAATTCCTCTAAACCAAAGGAGGCCTGAAAGTTTTCAAGCAGCATGCATATTACACCAGGAGTGTCCCGGACATGACAGTAACGGTTTCTCCTTGGATTTTCACTCGCCGATTTGCGTCATCCAGTTCCAGGTATAGCGTTCCACCCCTTGGAGATGCCTGATGATACATGGAAATGATCACATGAAGGAAAAATTAACACGATGATTTAGCGCTGATTGAGCGCATGTTGTGGCATTATTATTGTAAAATAAAATATATACATCCAAACAATTAAAACGTCGAAAGCATACTTGAAATGCCGTCAGTTTTTGCTTCCCAAGCTTTCTACCCCAAAAGGGTCCCAATACACAATGTATACTGCCAGTAACAGGGTCCTGCAAAAATACAGAAATCAGGGGTTACGACTTGTATGAAAGATGAGGCTGCATTACATGCACAATATCAATAGCCAATGGACGCCCAAGATTAATTTAAATGAACGAGGGTTTTCCTATACAGATTTCAACTAGTACAAATGGTGGCACTCTATAATTGCAACTTGCAAGCAGGGCATCGATTCCTCATTCCTCAACAATAATTACAAGCATCCACTGAGATAAAGTTTGTTCTACCATAGATAACACTACTAGTCAAAGCAGCTCTTAGCCTGCTAATCGATATTGTGAATATAGATAAAATTCTAGCTAAACAGAAGTAACTCATGATGATATTAATTTGTCTAGGACAAGCAGGGTTCAGACTTCAGAGCATGCTGGAAGTAGACAACACTACAGGACTATGCTATCCAGAATGAAAGATGTAGTGACATATTTGAGACATGAGCACAATTAGGTGTTGGGAGAGGCACTCCTGCATCGACTTTCTTATACTTAGCTCCATACTGTTTTTTACTCAAATGCTCGATACCTTGGTAAGTTAAACAAGCTTCACCATTTGTATACACAACTTTGGACTAAGAAAGGACATCACCTCATCCATCCCAAATTTCGGGCAGAATAAACGTGTGAAGAAGTTATAACCAGATCCAGCAGGTGCCGGTCCTGTAACCATGATACCACCACATGACAACTTCTTAATTTCTTCGATGTTAGGAAGGATGTCGGCAACCTCTTTTGCTGAAGAAAGTTCCACCTGAAAGCCACCAGCTGTTTATTGGGCAGTTGATTTTTCAGAAGCACAACTGAGATAGGAGAAACTAAGAGAATACAGTATAGCTGTTTAGCTTAGGAGAATGATCATAGCAGCACCAACATGCCCATCTTAAAATGGGGAAGTTTATTTTGGAATGTAATGATGCAGGTAAAACAGGGGAGAGACAGTACAATGAGATCACCGTCGGCCGCCGATTTGTGAACACTGACCACTGGTGCGCCGTTTAGGGTCTCTGGAATCGACGGCATCTCGTTGCAGTCCAGGAAATCAATCATGGGGAAATTCAGCTCAATAAACAGCTTCCCGTGGGCCTCGCCTGCGCCCCCTGGCGCAGGAACTTTCTTCGCAGTCAGGATGCCGGATTTGGTCATGAACTCGATCATGCCATGCTCCGGCAGAACGGCCGTGAAGAGGAAGTGGGCGGAGGCCAACGTCGCGTGCCCACACAGGTCGACCTGAAAGCGACGACGCGTGCTCGGGGTCGAGGCAGGCCAGTCGACGGGTTGTTCAGATCGGTCGATGCTGGTAGTAGAAAGGGGATCCGAGGATTTGGGGAGGAGATGGACGGAGGGCTATGTGGTTACCTCGGTGACGGGGGTGAACCATCGAAGGTGGAAGAGCGGCGCGGCGCTGGCGGGCCGGGACAAGTCGCGGACGAGGAAGGCGGTCTCGGAGAGGTTGAACTCGGTGGCGACGGACTGCATCCACCGCTCGTCCGCGGCGTTGTCGTCGTCGAGGAGGCACACCGCGGCGGGGTTGCCCTTGAACGGCTCGGTCGCGAAGGCGTCCACCTGCGACGAGACCACGACGGCCGGGCCGACGTCACTTTCCGAGAGGCGCGACGCGACCGTGCGAGTGAAGAAGAGGAGAGGGGAAGATGGTAAGTACAGTACTGACCACGGCGTATCGGATGGCTTTCTTGCACATTTTCACGAACACGGCGTCGGCGGCCGCTGCTCCAAAGTTGCCTGAGTAGGAATTGTAACAAGATGCTGATGATTGCTGAGTAGGAGTAGTAATCAGCAACGATGGGCTTTCCTTCCTTGTGAATGACAGCCGACCGGGTACCAAAAAACAAAAACTTCCCGTCACAAATACCGTCCTTTATGACTTAATTCCCTTTTTTTATATAAAAGAGAGCTTCCTTCTCTCATTTCATTTAAAGAAATCACAAGGTTTACAGACCCCAAACCTGACGCTAACTAACAGACTTAAAGCCCCGCGAGGCAACAACTGACAATGCTTTGTTGAAAGAGGGATCCATCCCTTCCTCCTCCCACACAGCATTATGTTAAGATAGGCTATGTCTCCAGCATCATACAACACCAAAAAAAAAAGCTAGTGGATTTTTCTACTCGCTATTACATAGAGAAAAGGGTCCCTCACATTAACAGAAGGTTCAAAACACAACAAGTAAAGGAAAGGGAGAAAACACTTGAGCTGCGGGTGACAGAGAAGGAGAGGCTTCGGCATGTCTGTCCTTCAGGAGCCTTCCAACCTGGGTACTCCGATCGTCCATCCATGCGTCGCCTTGAAGATCTCCCTAGCAACCCGCTCTACTTGCTTTACACCCTCCTTCATGCGATTTATTTTTCCTTGGTTTTTCTGCAATACACATCATTCATGTAAATTTTTAATAATCAGATTCACAGGAACACAGGGATCAACTATCCTGTGATTATCAAAAACTAGTATGTTTCTTAGTTTCCACATCGTCCATAACATAGCAGATATTCCAACTGTCATAAGACTTTTATCATTTTTTTCAAACTTATTTGTCCATCTACCAAATATATCATTAATCTTGCCAGAGATATCTTGTAAATTAAAGGAACATTTCATGACCATCCATAACATTTTTGCCACCGAGCAATGTATAAAGAGATGATCTATATCTTCCTCTCTACCACAGAAGGAACAATTGTTGTCCCCCTGACATCCTCTTTTTTTTTAAGTTTT